TGTCTGGATAATAATATGCGGCGGTTCTTTCGTTCGTGTAATTGAGTAAAATTTACAAGCAGGTTTGTTTCTTACATTGATGAGGGCCTTCAAAGGGATGATCTAAAGACTTGACAAGATGTGAAGGAGTCGTTTGGGGGATGGGGCAGCACATTGGTACTCTGATCAGAGGGAGTTTCTCCGAATCCCCAGAAAAGGTGGGTTAGTTATTGTTAAATTTGAGGAGTAGAAACGGTTCTTCGTACAGTATACCAGCTGTCTCTTATACACATCTAGATGTGTATAAGAGACAGGAGAAATACTATATGTTTGGGTAGTGATGGTTGGTGATTGGATGAATAAACTGGATACCGTATAATCTGTCTCTTATACACATCTAGATGTGTATAAGAGACAGACATATATATTTCCAATATAATTATTGGCAATATCGTACTTCACGCTTTAGCGTTATTGTTTATCTTAGGGTCGGTATTAAATAGAGTAAAAGTATCGTTTTAAATTTTGAATTAGGTTTAATCGGGCCTCTTGGACGAGACGGAGTAGATGGTCGTGATGGACGAGATGGTGTGCCTGGAATTCCAGGGAGTCCTGGCGTTGCTGGTGTCCCTGGGGACAGGGGTCAGAAGGTACTAGGCCTGAAGTTTAAAGTCTGAATTATTGTTTTGATAGATATATTTAGTAAATAGCGTATGTACTTAGTGATTATTTTAAATACATATCTATTATTATATGTACTTAGTGATTACGGTATTTTAAATACATATATATTATTATATGTACTTAGTTATTATTTTAAATACATATCTATTATTATGATTAGTATCGAGAAATTTATTTTTTATGGCACGTGTACGTGCGCCATACAATACTAATGATCAGTATCATTATCATTAGTACCTTTATATTGTTATTATCATAGATACGCCTATGTACTAATTAGGCCTAAATCAATTACGCTTCATAGCCGTTTTACTCTGTTTTAGGGAGATTTAGGAAATGATGGACCGCTGGGCACTAAAGGAGAGAAGGGGTTTAAAGGTGAACAAGGGAAATATGGACCCATGGGACCTAAGGGTGATGCTTGTGATATCAACACTAAAGATTTTGCTTCTATGCTACTTCAAACACTCAGTGGTGGTAAGTACCGTAGACTCTGTCGCCAAATCAAGATCTGATCAACACAGGCCTTGTTTAACCGCCGCATACCGCTTTAGTTACAACATATTGGAGCAACATTTTCTACCACATTGATCCTACACATTTTCCCCAATTATCAACTGATTTTATTGATACACTATATGCTATAGAATGTGTGCCACACACTGATAAAGAAACCTTATGAAGAAATATGGTGTTCGCTCACATATATTCTTGAAATCAAATAAATAAATTCAAAATGTAGTAGATTTTGACCCAGTCTAAAAAAAAAGAAGAACATTATAGGTCCAATGCCACAGGAATTCCCCAACGCACTTCTTTTAGATAATTTTGTCTTGAGAATGCCAAATTTAATTGAAACGCTACGTACAGAGAAAAATTCATAGGGATAAGGGATCAACATTTGGGAGACTACGACCGGCAAAAAATGTTAATGTCCGTACAAAAAAAGTTAACAATTATGTTGTGTTTTTACAAAGATCAACATAACTCTGCATTGAATCTGACGTCACAGAATACGCTAGGAAGCCTCTTTGGTGGTGGAAGCGTATACACACGTTGGGGCAGGACAACGTGCCCAGAAACAGGCGCAGAGCTGGTCTATGAAGGTAAGTTGCCCTTGGGCAGCAACAAACGCCACATTATTACCTCCGCCAAGGAGGTTATGTATGTACTGTCTGTATCAGTCGTGCTGTCTGTCTGCTACCAAGATTACGCAAACATAAATGAATGGATCATCATAAAATTGAATGGAATGATAGGCCTACATGATAATCGAAGAAAGACACAAAGGTCAAAAGACAAGGTCAAAGTCATGGAAATTCGATATTTTACCCTCGAGCATAAAAGAAAATAATTGAATCGCCCATCATATTCAGGTAGGTAGGCAGCGCTCAAGAAAACGACTGCCTGAATATGACGGGCGATTTCAGTATTTTCTTGAGGATATGCTGCAGCACTCAAGAAAATAATGTGCCTGAATACGACGGGCGATTCCATAATTTCCTTGAAGGTATACTGCACTTTCGCCCGTCATACACGGCCTGCGTCTTGTTGGTACTGTCACAGGGTACTATATTGAGGCACATTAGCTGGGCAAAACACATATTTGGGTTATTTCTTGTTTGGAAAAAGAGAAAATCACATATGGTGATCGGGAAGAAAGCGGTGTACTTCAACAATCGTAGTCGACCAACTGCTCTCTTTCTAAGGGTGTACTGCTCAGGGTTTGGTGTGGTTTATAAGGGCCTCCGAAGTTTAGAGACATGAGTAGTACTTGTTATCTAACCCTAATTGTACCGGACACACCTTCACTTTCCATTGTGAACGCTATCAGATTGTTATAGAACTAATTGCTCGAGAATGATCGGTTGTTAACTTGTTGATCAATAATTATGCTTTTATTTCCAGGCATTGTCGGAGGATCATGGTACGCTCATAAAGGCGGCTCATCTGAGTACATTTGTCTTCCATCGGACCCGGAGTGGGACAACTACCTTGACGGGATTCATTCTAAGGCTTATATATATGGGGCTGAATATCAAACCTCCCCATATGATCCATTTGAGCACGACAACTCTGAGACGTTACATAGTCACGATGTGCCTTGTGCCGTCTGCCGGGCACCAACACGTGCTACAGAGCTTATGATTCCCGCCAGAACTAGCTGCCCAGACCGATGGACTAAGGAATACTCGGGCTACCTAATGGCTGGTTACTATGATCATCCCCAAAGAGTAAAATATATTTGCGTAGATAGAGCTCCGGAAACTGTGCCTGGGACAAGTGTTGCCCAAAATGGTGCCCTGCTGTACGTTGTAGAGGGACAATGCGGATCATTGCCGTGTCTCCCGTACGTAAGTGGTCGTGAATTAGCTTGCTCAGTTTGTACAATCTAGACTGATACCAATGATTATTTTCAACTGAAGTTTCACTTGTTCTATGAGCATTAAACATGCAGAAAACTTGTTTCTTATGAGAGCAACCATACAGACCACCACCGTATACAAACGCGTCATTACGGCGTAGTGTAGGCCTACTGTAATAGCAGGACCGATAGTACTCATTCGTCGAATATTTCATTGTACAAAGTACAGAGGTTTTTCTAAACCATTCACAAAACAGCTTATGTCACTAAATATATTATTTTTATTCCAAATTACAAATAAATTTGTTTCTTGATAAGTTGCAGTTAAGAGTATAACAATTTTTTTTTTCTAGCTATAGAGTTTTAACTTAAATATTTTCAAGAAAAGAACAAACGTAAAATAATTCTTGGCTAAAAATTATGTTTTTGTTTTAGATTTTTTTTTAGAATATTAAATGAACGAATGATGAAGATAAATGGAACTATAACAATATCACTTTAGTATTATTGACAATTTTATTTTATGATAGTCAAAATGTTAATTTAAAAATTTTAGTAACGAAAATTTGAATTTGTAGCAATGTAAACATGCATAGGAGTTACCATCGAAAATAAATACGTTACAAAATATCTAAGATTTTAGATGTGTTTATTGTAAATAGGCCTATAATATATTAAGATGTGTCTTCCTCTAATAGAATACAAACCATAAAAAATGCCATTTATATTCAAGATTCGACAGATTCAAGATTTATTTATTGTCAAACACAAGTTAAAAAAATAAACATGGTTCGAAACTTTCGCACATGCATAACCTTGCATTGTCTAAAATATGTTACTAATAACACCAAGATACACATACTGTAAAACCACTACAACCATTGATAAAATGTAAAAAGTTTTAAAATGTTGTATAAAAAAAAGCTTTACGAACATTAATTATAGTAACAATTATACATACACGTATACCCTACGTTTGCGTATTAATGTTATTACACAATACTTTATAAAGAATTTATGTTTTTGATAGCACAATACTTCATCTTATAAATGATGATTCAACAGATTATTGGAAAAATTTATTTCGAAAATCAAAAATACTTTGCTGTTAGCAATAAATTGTTTTTTTCTGGTTTTTTTTTTTAAATACGACACAGAATAAATACTAAATATTGAAGCTAATGACACGACAGATTTAGCTAATGGGTCCTCAAGTGTTTTCTCCCCCCCCCCCCCCCCCCCCCGCAATTTGAAGCGTTAGACTTACAAATATAGCTCAAAACACAATAACATTATTCACCTGGAGTCATATGTTCAATTATTTTACTGTCGTAAAAAATATAACAGGAAATATCAACGGTACTTGTATTAACATAAACAATACATTAACGACCTTTGTATTGCCGTAAGTTGGCTCTTCCACAAATGTAAAACTTCCTCTCTTGAGATAAGCAAGATGGCATGCCCAACTTGGAGCAAGGTGTAAGTGTCGTTATTATGTACGTGCCCGCTAAATATTAACACCTCGCTTTTTCTGACAAAGTCATATACACTATTTTTTAAATACACATACATTTTAATTTTTACGATTGCTTGACAAATGTAAAGCTTGTGTTTAGGGTCGTAAGGTAATTAGGATTTCCAAAATGGCGTAACTATTATCAATTCAATGTTGGCAAATTCTAGACTGGTTTCACTGCGTTTGAAGTTGTTCCAGTAAACTGTTGTAATCCGGTTGTATGACGGCATAATTCATACTAGGATTATATAACCTAGCATATATGATTCTAGAGGACAATTACCCGTCCTATACATATGAATATGAGGATTATCGCCAATGGGGTCTTCCACTAGTCATCATCGTTGCAAGCTAAGGGCTCCACAAGGAGCAGTCTCGGTCCCAGTCAATTGGTCTGTGTGTGCCTTCAGTTTACCGAGATCATGTGAGAATGAAGTTGGTAACATTATTGAAGATCCGTCGTCATCTTCATTCAGTCATTATCAAAACTACCAAATTTTGTTTGTTGGTGCCACTATTTATGAAGCCTAATGTAAATTTCATTTGATAGATTTTATGTAAGCCTATAACAATTCGAAATTATTTTTTAAACGGAAAACTTCACTAGCATTATAATTTCAAAAAGGATAAAATAAAGTGGCATTAATTACGAATCTGTGTTGACTGCGCGGTAGAGAAATATATCTTAGCTATTTTGTGATTTAAAAACCAATTAAAGAGACAATTAATGAAGCCTTTTCTATATATGTGTACATACCGGTAGTGAAAATTTATTGATTGATAGTACAGTTTTATTATAATTTTTTTTATAATAACAATAATAATAATAATAATAATAATAACTATAATAATAATGATAATGATAATATCAATACAAGGAATTAAATAAATCTTTCCTGCAGTACTTACATGTTTATTCTGTAGCAATATTTCTCGTCCAATCCAGGACAAGTAAGTCCAGAAGAAAAGATTTTTTTAATTCCTTGTATTGATACTATACTTACCTAAATGAATAACAATATTCACAAAGATAATGATAAAAATAATTATAATGATGATGATAATGATGATAATGATAATAATAATAATAATAATAATAATAATAATAATAATAATAATAATAATAATAATAATAATAATAATAATAATAATAATAATAATATGTTTGTTTGCTTTCATTTTGTTTCAACATTACAAAAGTACAATACTGATAAAATTACAAAAAAAAAATAAAATAAAATAAAATAAACCATTAAAACATGAAACCAGGATAACCCATAGAGTCGAAAAAAAACCAACTTATTTGC